ATCATATGCTCTCAGACGTATTGATACACATCAACGAATTGTTTGTATTACCTATACTATAGTTCACAGGACATACCTGTTCTATGTCTCACGGAGTCGATTTGTCATCGCTTTTGTTTCAGTACATTTATTGATAAGATCTGATTATAAATCATACAATGGTGAGATCATGTTTTTATCAGAAACATTTAACGATGACATCGTGTATTTATGTTTCCTACCCCACGACTTACGTTTTTCACAGTAACTGAGGCCATATTTTTTTTTTGCGTAATACGTCACGTGATAACACCTATCGTGACGTAAAGACAATAAACATGAAGAAAAAAAGAGCGACGTTAAAAGCAAAGGTCACATAAAACATTGAGTTTGGCAAATATTTCCAAAAAACTATTTCGGTAAGGTTATAAAGGCATCATAAGTTCGATTTCATTCATATTAGATGGACGGAGCTCGTTCCGAAATTTTTGTTCAAGCAGGACCCACCATGCTGTAGTAACGAAATCTATACTAGTTTAAAAAATCTCATTCGAAACATATTTTATTCTAAAATTAGTATCCCAATGTTGATAATGCATACATGTTCTTATTTTCTACTGATTATGTATTTGTTATTTTGATACCGAGTTCTCTATGCATTTATCTTAATAAACAAACAAACAAAATCAGTACACAGAAGATGTTTGCAATTTTCTGATGCAATGTGTATCCTTTTACAAATAACAAACCATACCGTCTTAAAAATGCTAATGCTACTAGGCTAGGCTATGTTCTAGATACTTACAAATCATTTCTCGTGTATCAAAGAATGTGATAATATTACGTTAAAACTGTTTTTGTGTAGTTACTTGTTCATGTATGTAAAACAATGGCAAAATCCTGCAGGTGAAAAATACTTGTTCAATGCATTTCAAAATCTGATTTCTGGTCTAAGTTGTAAGTCACGTGGAAAATAATTACTTATTAAAACTAAATTATATGTATAATGTACGTTTAATATTTGTGTCTTTAAAGCATGGAAAGGAATAGCATATAACGTCAGCAAGATGGGAGGAAGAAAAACACCAACTAAATCCGATTTAGTCTGACATATTAATGGACCGTACGAGAGGCGGGCAAGCATTGAAGTTATCTGACTAATTATCCCCCTTTGGTGGTTTTTGATGTCCGGAGGAAGGAAATTAGTCAAATTCTATCACAAAGCGTAAAACTAGTGCGATAAAGCGGTCATAAATGTAAATTCCTACTCCTAACTAATTAAAGTTGTGTCGGTCACGTGGCCCCAGGTAACGTTGAATACCTGGGAAATACACAATCTCTGTGTTCAGTAAGTCTACACCCGCAGGAACTGCAAACCTGGGCATGCGCTGACGCGTCCTTTTGTGCATAGTTCACACGCCTTGTCACCGTCAATAACCTATAATTGTCTTTCAAACCGCAATTCAATTTCGATCTCCATTGACCGGGTAGCATTTGAGATAAAGAAAAAACAACTCTTATTGATGATATATTATTTTAAATTGTTTAACATATATCATTTGTGTTAGAATTAAGTGCTGAGATTTTATTTCACCAAATAAGATGTAATATGATATATTTTCCAAAATTGACAAAAATGAGGTATATAGACATTGACGTATATCATACTAGCTTTCTGCTCCTTTCCACTGCTGTGTAAGTTCTAAATTTAGCAATAATTGCATATTACATATTTTATATCAATACTTTTTAATTTAGTTTTTGTTTTCATTTGTTTTTTTTTCTCAAAGCAAACTGTGAATCGTATTTGTGGTATAAACTAACTTTCAGTTAGTACTGTTCGGCGGCTTAGGTCTAAGATAGTTGGATAACAGACCTAATACATATAACAAGGTAAAGGCAGGCTTTATAGGTATATGCTTAAAATACAAAACAACATCGGCATGGGATTTACTTTTAATGGAAGATAAGTTTCAATTGTCCGGAGCATATTGCCCAACCTCTTGTTTTTATAGGGAGTATATGGTGTCTTTCGTTTTGTTTTGATGTCCCTTGCGTTTTTTTGTCGTTGTTGTCTCCCGATTCAAATTTAAATTAACTTATAAATGTTTTTCTATCCAAATGAAATAATGAAAATATACCTAGTAAATTGTAGCAATACATTGCCAGGTGACTTTTTAAGGAGACGAACTATATTTTAAACATTGCTGCAGATTCTGGTATTGACACATAGCATCTTGTTGTGATGATATTTTAAGCGATTTTGTTTCATTCGTTTCTCCTGTGGATTTCGTTATTTCTGGTCACATTGGAAGTTATATAATTATATTAATTGTTTGGTTTGGTTTGTTTGTGTTTTACGTCCTATTAACATCTATGGTAATTTATGGACGTGTCAGGTTTTGGTGGTGGAGGAAATCCAGAGTTCCCGAAGAAAAACCAGGATTGTACCCTTATTCTTATTACAATAAATTATCATATATATTTCGGGTAATTTAGTATTACACGTATAACGATTGATGTATTTTGGATATAGTTTATACTGACAATAGTTTACTGATGATGTTAAAACCATGAATATGACTATTACAAATATCAAAGTTTGACATTGTACTTTATACACAAACATTGCACGTATTAAACGTGTCGCAAAGTTTCAAGACCGACTGGTCCCTTTGTCAAACTATGACGGCCTTGAAACGTTGCGACACGTTTAATACGCACAGTGTTTGTGTATAAAGTAAAACTTTGATATTAAATATTTCCAAACTTGTAAATCTTATCGAAGAAAATGACTATTAGAACTTTAGCATTATGTATATCATTTGTATATTTTGAGGCTTCCGGTTGATAAACCAATATTTAAAATAAATTATGAACCTTTCATATTGACTTTGTGTTCTTACAAACTCAGAAATTTCATCATTTGGTTTCATTAGATTTTGTATTATGAGTGTCCGAGACAAAAAATTATAACAGCCTGATTGTTCAATATTTGTTTTTATTAATTGTTATATTTCCTCTGAAACTTTTGCCTCATTATCGACTTTTGCTAAAAAAAATCAAAAGTGTGATAGGTTATTTATATATATATATATATATATATATAAATAACCTATCACACTTTTGATTTTTTTAAGTGTGATAGGTTATTTATATAAAATATAAAAAAAAATCATGTACGAACTTCTTTTTTTCACTGAACTATATATTTATATATAAATAACCTATCACACTTTTGATTTTTTTAGCAAAAATCGAATATAGATATATGGAAACACTCAAATTGTCTCTTTAATAAGTTTTGTTTATACTATATCCATAAATGTTACTGCATTGCAATCATAAGGGCATATAGACTTCCCGCATAAGCTTATTATTTATCTACAGAAAGACTGAATCCATGAGGAATGTCTCTTGAACAAATAGAAGGCTTAGCTTGGTGAATAGGAGCTAATGAGTCTAAACCTTCCACACACAAGGACTGGCATGTTAGTATGCACTGGCGAACCGTGATAATTGGTTTTATAATGCATAAACAAGGTCCACTTCTTTCAGCGTTCTGACACGGTCATTAAAATGTTGTTGGTCACGGTGGGGTTGTTCCCTGTATATCAGTAGGCCCCCTACCACTACAGCTTGCTCCTTCTTTTCGCTCTCTTTCTCTACCCCCTCCTCAGTGACGTGTATTGTTGGTGTGGGGTGACAGACATCACTATACCGTGTAATTGGCATTGGTAGACACTCTAACAGCTGGACACGCGAGCATGCACGTGTAAAACATGTTGAAATATAAGGTTTTACAACATTGCTTTTATTGGGACATCACTTGTTGTTTGAAATCTTATTTGGCAATTCTGAAGATTTTTCAGCATTTTCATTTGTAGTTCGTGCTGCAATGTAGTTACCCTGTACTTGGAATTTATTATTTGACTGTTTACATGAAACACTATTTTAGATATAAATGATCCAAAATTGTTAAAGTCAATATATAGGCACCTTTTCCTGCTGAGTTGTATTATTTTTTAAACATTTGACATGAATTCCTTATTAATTTCACAAGTAAGGAGTCCTACACAGACCAATTGGCAATGTGGTGTCGTTAATATCTACTTCATTTGGCATTGTACATTGACTTAATAGTTATTTAAAAGTTGTTTTTATGCATGTTTCTGAGGGTTATTTAATGGCCCTGTCAGAAACATTTAATATCACATGATGTTCAGAATATTTATTGAATTTCATAAACAGCGAATGCTTTCCTAGTACATTTCCTTAATATCAATGTTCACCTTGCTAAACACTGTAGCTGAAGTTTTAAAACATTAAACTGATTTGAACTGTTATAATTTTGTTCAATTTAAGTATTTACAGATCGCATCAATGCCATTGGCCTCATTGAGATATCAACATTTGGTTATTTTGCTCACTCTTGAAAAAAGCGTCTTCGAGGGTATCCGTATAATTGAAATATTATCAATAAACAAACAGTCATATTATTTTTCCTTTTTTTTCGATATAAAATGCCGTATGAAATTAATAATTTAAAGCAAAACATTCAAACTACCCATGCGTATTTTCACCTTGAAGAACACATGACGATACAATTAGAAAGCCACGTGAAAGGTTTAAGGGGAGCAATAAATTATGGCTTCGTCCATTACATCATGAGTTTTACACACATCCGGGCAGTGACAAATCACCGCGACTTAAGACAAATATTTATGTTACGTCAACGGTAGCTGGGAAAAATTAGCCGGCATGTTATCGGGTGGGATCTGTTTGTCTTACCGCAGAGATTTTACCGATAGCCGAGTGGTAAATAGCGAAGTGCTTTGAAGGAGGCGAGCACCCATACTTCAAATGTAACGAGAGTCTTCTGGACAATGGAAACACGAGCACGACTCTTAACCTCGGTGTTCATAAAGATATAAGTTTACTTTTGCTGTCATACCTTACCTCGAAACATTAGAGGAAACATTTGGAAGTCGGTTGTATGCATTGTTTAACGATATGCATACTCTTGAAGGAGATCGAGCAGAAGATAGGTTTCCGCCATGTTTAACCTTCGAGCTTCCGGCTCATTTTTTGTTGCTTGTTTTGGTGTTAAATTTGAAACTCGTGTTGCATTGACTCATTCCCGCTCATAGTTTTGGTTGACTTTCAATTGAAAAATCAATATACTGTAAAACTGAATATTACCGAAAATGAATTTAAAAGAACCTTCCAAAATAACGAACCAAACGTTTGTTCAAACCAAACACGACGTACATGTAGGCTTTGAATTTGAGTAAAATTCGTAAAATATTGAACGTCCCAATTACTGCAAACGGAATGTGGGTAGTAATGTTGTATTTTATGCATTTTCATGTGCAAAAATATTTCACATAGAAATATTGAGGGTCCTTGTGTATCGACATGCTGATAAGAGTCCACTCAAGCGTATATCTCGTTCATTCTGTGTTGTTTTCACACGTTAACCGCAATAAAGCTTATGAAATGCGAAAGGAAACCGAATTTCCGTTTACATGTTTTCATGTCCTGTTAGAGTTGGAAATCCCCTTTCCTCTTCAAACGGAAACAAAACTCCATTTTGTCTATTTCTTGATAGCATTCTCAAATTTCTAATAACACCGGTAGCATTCACTCAGAAATTTTCTGATGCCGTGTAATAACGGAAAGGTATTCACGGGTAGCAATTTATTGATCATACCCCGAGACAAATACCCTGCCGCTGTGGATGTCACGTGATACAATCAAAACTTTCTAGACTGTTACAGGTAAAGCATTTTTTACGACAGCGTCACTTTCGAGAGTTAACACGATGATTGGCTAACTAAGAAAAAAACTATATTGTTTATATAAAGCTAGATTCGTGAATTTAACCCAATATGAAGCGGCATTCATTTATTTGTAATATTGTGAAACAATAACACAGCGAGAAGCGCAATAAGTTTGAAGAACAAGTTTTGTAGATATATATACATATATATATAAACGGTATTTTGTTGCAAGGGATGTATTAAATCATATGTACATTCTCTTTGACACACTTGCTTTCGCCTAGGACAAACAGGCGATTCTAACCCTGGGTCGAACAGTTCAAAATCTATCAGATGATATTGATGTCCTGTGACCAAAATTTATAATTTCTTTCAACTGTGCCGGCGAATTTAGCATAGGTCGATAGTATTAAGAAAGCGTAAAGACAGGAAAAAACTAAAATAAGGAAATATACAAAACACAGCAAACCCAAATCTTCAATTCCACAAAGGTCTCGTAATGACCTTGATCCCTGGTTTGATAAATACCATCTACTACTGGTCCTCCTGTTTCAGACGTGGTCTATCAGCATCTAAACCTCATTACTAGCGATATCGGGGAAATAATTTGATACAAAGTCTTCTTATCGGTTATTTATATGCCAGAAACAAGTAGTCGATAGGACCACATAAAACGTCTGCGGGAAATTAAACGGTGACAAATTACATTGGATGGTTGTGATGATACGGCATGCGCGATTCGATTGACAGAACAGCTATACAGCGTCACGTGCCCACGTGCAGCAGTTTAGAGAAGTGGGGATGCAGAAACTAGAATCAAGAGAGAGCAAATCTCAAAATAAACTTTCATGAAGCAAGAAAACGATATTTTTTCACTTATTTTGTAATTTGTAGTTAAGTATTTCTTGTTTCTTTAGTAATGTAATTTCACATAAAGAAACCAAGAAAAATCATTTTGAATGTATAATGATAGGAAGATCTGTACATTTACTAATTGATATAAATAATGATTTCTATATGATTCCATATCTATTTAAGGGGAATGTAATAATGTTTACGTCATCAGATGATCACCATTACGCCATAAGGTTATTTTCAGTCAAACGCCATTTGGTGATCACTTTTACGTGTTTTTTTTTTTGCAACTCGCTTTAAAAATCGAAAATATCAATTCCAAATTTAATGATCTCGCTAACACATATTTAAACATAAGACGAACAATTTGAGAGAATTCAAACCCACGCGAATAATTTCTAGAAGATCAGTTCTCAATAATACGTATACACGAAATGTAAATATTCTACAGAAAATCAAAATAAACAATGTAGACATCGCGCGTGTTTCACCAACAAAATCATTTAGTCAAACGATATGCGCATAAAGGAATTGAATTACCAGGTGCTAGATGAGTTATGAAAACGGCAAAGCGCCTGACATCAAGTCTTAGACAAGCAGTCCAATTGTTTTCCCCCACTCTATCGGTATACACAATATCTCACTAAAACACGTTAATGTTAAGACATACACTTCATAAAGTACATCACATCGTTAAGTTAATAAAGTTAGTTGCAACCTTTGACAAAGTAAGTTCCGTTACAATACCTTCATTTCTCGGGGAAACAAAGAGAAATAACGGGACGGCGTCAAAGAAAAGCATTAACACGGAACATATAACTTCTATTTTAGAGAAACTGACAAACCAATTCCGAGTGATGGAGAAGCACTGGAACCACTAATCCATCAATAACACAAGTTGGCTCGTTTTTCAGATACACGGAGGAGTGGCGGAACATCGTCGTGTCATTTTTCATTTTCATTGTTACTTTTGAGAGGTTATGTGAAACAAGGCGTAGCTTAGAAGAGGAATGTTTGAAAAACATATTTCTTTTATAATCTCCTCTGAGTAGAGGCATAGGTTATAATATGCTTACTTTACTAATAAATTAGAATTTTTTTTTACACTATTTTTTTTAAAATTCGTAACTTAAGGGGTTTTATGCATCTTCCGTTCTGTTTTAACAGTAGTTTATACCTATTTTGATTTTGAAACAACTGTATGATGCAATGTAAGTAATTGTTGGCGTACTGAATTTATTATTTAATTGTATTGGTGTAATCAAAGTTGTGGGTTTGTTACTTTCATTCTTTATGTGAGGCTTCTTACGATTGGCCTTATTAACTTTATTTTGCTTTATTGAATTGATTAAATTTGAGGTTTTAGAAGTTAAACCAAATTTCATAATGTAATACTTACCATAAAGTTATGGTAATTATTACTGAAATGAAAGCATCATATACATGTTATATAGACTTCAAGTTTGGTGACTACATTTCATATTTCGTTCGTTACATGATAACTAATATATACAGTATCAAGCTTCGCCGATTATTAATTAACATGAGTTTCATTGTAGTTATCATCCGATAACCTACACTAAATAGAAAGTTATTCCTTAAATATATGTCGGAGCTGTTGCTTGGAATTATTAATCTCTGAGGGCAAAGACATAACTAAAAAAAGAAATTTCACCCTTTTTTAGACATGTTTTCTATTAGCTCCTTTGGAATTGCATATATTCGTAACATTACAACAGACAGTCATATACTCGTGTACCTAATGAAGTTGTCTTTTCAAAGGCGTCTTAATGCTTTCCACTTATTCCCATTTCATAAAAAATGCTTTTCTTTTTAATAATTGACACAACTATTTCAATATCATATATTATAATTATTAATTAACATGGCATATGCATATTAATCTTCATACTCTTTGTACAGTTTTTAAAGTTCCTAGTTAAATCATACATAATATATACAACCGCTCAGTGCTGTTCATGATCATATTACATATACTATTAGTTTAGATATATATCTATTTTAAGGTAATTGGATTGTGTCGCCATTTCTCAGTAGAAGTTGAAATACTTTAATATTGAGAGAAAACACTGTTCTGTCAATAATAAACATACCATATTCATCAGTTTAATATTAAACATTAGAATATACGGAAATTGTGATACTGTCTCCCTACATTGGATTTACTTCCTACTTCCGTTTATCAATACACTCCTATGACCTTAATGTATATTTCATTAATATCAACTTCAACATTGTGTACTTGTGTCTAATTCTAATGAGATATCATTAATCGAAATGACCATGTCTTGCGGTGTACTAAATTTGTTATTTATAATTAATAAAAAAAGAAGACAACAAAGATTGTAATTTTATTTCCTTGAGTAGGATTATAAATATAATTAAATGATTTGGATGAAGAAAGAATAGAAAGGTCAAAACTTCATTCAAACATATCAAATACCAAATGCGAGCCCTAAATACTTAAAGTTTGTAAATGTTACGCTGAGTTCAATTCACAACGTATCTACTGTGAATTGAAAACAACGTTACACTTACAAGGTCCCCTGAAATAGGATTTTGTTGTAAAGCAGGCAGACGTTTTAGTTGAGACCAAAGATCTTCAAATCTAGACTTATTAGGAGCAAAAGCTTTGTCTCAAACTTGAAGTTTCTTACACGAATCAACATAGTCTCCTATATCTCGAAATTTTTTTCAGATATGAACCTGTTCGTGTTGTCGTAGAAATGCACCATAACTGTTAACACACATCACGACAAACAATCAAGTATATTAAAGGAAGCATTCCAAGTACAGACCGAATCTTTTTTCTATTTTCATTACGCATGGCTGTAAATTATTTTGGAATTCAAAAAGAATGTTCCCTGTGCTAACAATAAAATATATACATGTGCAAGCGTCTAAATTACATAATAATTTCTACATTTACTTCCACGGTGCGTGGATGTTAATTGATTTTGTATATCATAATAAATATAATCTGGTTTTCATATTTTCTTATTTTGAAGAATTGCCCTTATCACGATAGCATGAACACATTAAGAAGAAATTACATAACGACGTTAACATCCTTCGAGAATGCTTTCTTGTGTCACTACGATTTACGTGTTAATTGAGTTTTTAACTCATAATAAACATGTCCTGTTTTTCCTATTTTCTTTTATTATATTGTCCTTAATTTTCACGAAAAGATTATGCAGAACTGCATATAATGTTCGCCATAATGAATACCAGTCGTTAACCGAGGAATCAAATTCTCGTTGGAGAACTGCGGAGGTCCTTTTTTCCCCTTTCTTTGTTTTTTTTCCTTTCTGGCGAATGTTGATGAAGATAAAACCAGGAGAAAATTGAGGTAAACACAACCCCGAAAAGTCGTTATAACAGTTCTTGTTTGCTTTAA